TTTTGATTTTGATGTTTGAAATTTAAATTTTTTTATGAGAGGAAAAATAATGTATCAATTATTTAAGTTTGAGTAGATGAAACAAACGTACCCTTAATTTCTTTTTTTTTTTACTTTTCATGATTTTTTTATCTTTTCTTTTTTCTATTTTTTTTATTACAAAGTTCCTACATAGTTTAATTCTATTTACGATGTTGAAACACTTCCCCAGCCCAGCCCAAAAATTTTTTTTTTTTTTTTTTTTTTTTTTTTTTATCGCCATATTTAGATTTTTTTATCAATGGTAGTCTCAATTGCAATTTATCTCATAAATAAAACTACTCAAATTTATTTATTTTTAAATAGTTTCTCTCACATATGAGCATACTCAGTATTCTTTTTTTTCCAAATGTGTTGCTTATATTTTTTTCTCTAATTACTTTATTGATATCATATTTTTTCAAACGTGTCTCGACCTAAATACTTTTTTTTTTCTTATAACTCTCTTAAATATTATTTTTTCATATGCACCCCATAAATAATTTACTCTCTAATTGCTCCACCAAAAACTTTGTTTTCTTTTAACTATTTTCTACTTAAATTTTTTATATTTTATTATTTTTACTAAATTAAAACTAAAGGAATACTAAGTCAATAAAAAATTTTGAAGAAATTTTAAATCATTATATTTAAAAAAAAAATAACACATTGAATAGTAGAGCGTGGTTTCAACTAGTATACATATAAAGCACATTCATTGAAGCCATGTTTACCTAACAGTAATAGAATCATGTAATTGGAAAGAAAGTATAGTCGGAAACAATCTAATTTTTCTTATCCATAGTTTACTGAAATATTTTTGTGCATAACAAATTAGAGTTTATTCAATTTAATTAAGAATTAATGCTAAGGGAATTTAAGATTAGCGTTCATGTGAGTTCCACTGAAGTATCATTCCGATTTTTTTAATACAGAGCTGAAGAAATGGACAGGAAACACTTCCTATTTCCGTTTCTCATTTATGTAAAGTAAATGGTTTCATATACCAAAAAAAAAAAAAAAAAGTAAATGGTTTCGTATACAGACTTCACATAGCTTCATAGTAACAGCTTTGTTTTTTGTTTTAATATCGTTCTCTCACCTAAATGGCTGCTATTACATTCTATAACTGTAACGCCTCTCACGGACGTAACATAATTCGTTACTTACATCGTTAACTTTAACAATTTTAATAAAAATAGAAAATAAACTCAAATATATATATATATATATATATAAATACATATCCCAGGAAAATAAATTTTAATAAATTTTTGTTTTAAAATCAAAAGTGAACCCGTATCTATATAAGACAATCCCAAAGGTTCAAAGAACAAACATCTAAATAAATAAAAGTTGTGAAGTGAACATAATTACTTTAAACCTAAAATCTCAAAAAAGTTTAATAATTACTGAAGTCTCGAAAATACAAAGTGTGGAATATAATTGAATAATTGTGGCGTCTTTCCGTTTTCAATCCAATGTTCCTTGTGCACAAGCCCGTTCTCGTCCTGCATCCTAAACATCTTGCTTCTTACCCTTATATGCAACATGATATAATTCTTGAGTAAGTAAAAGCTTAGTAAGTACACTTCCTTATCTCACAAAAATATAATTTAAGTTTTCAATGAAAACGTAACATAATCATCATCATAGTAGTGCACGAAGCATACCTTTATATATATAACATATCTTTCTTTAAATTTTCACATTAAAACAATGTTCATTTTATCTTTAGGGACCCAAACGTTGCACCATTAACATCGTTGGCGCGCCGTTATGAGAGAAGTGAGGTAGCTAATCCTAAACCATACATGACAAGTCCACCTAACGGGACAGTCCTCCTAACGGGACATCGTAAACATAAACATAGGGCATGCAACGCTTCATAAAGTGATACTTGTATAGATATATAGTTTTCTTTAAAACTTGTCATAGATAGTAAAATCATAATCATGAAAACATCCTTCTGAAATTCATCGTAAAAAGGTCTTGAAAGAAGAACCTATTGTTCACAAACCTTTAATCATAAAACATTCCTTAACATTTTTATAAACTTTTATCATGTTGCATGTGAGAATGTACTTACTTAATTCGCTATCTTACTTAACCTTTTTGTTGTACAAGGTGACAGATGTCCCGGTTCATGCTCTTCCTCTTGGGTGTTCATATCAACTCATTCCATAATAACATTAAAAATCAATATTCATATCATTGAGACATTGAATCACAACATAACTAATCTAATATCATCATTACATAATTATACAATTATCATACCACCACTTTTATTCACATAAAATCATGATTATAACTCAATTTACATAAATGCTTTTTCGAGAAAGTAGAAAACATAAAATCAACATATAATCGCATGAGCATAAATTTTATCTCAAATTAAAATCCCAAGGAGCAATGATTTTATAATTTTCAAAATCTGTCAACCAAATCAGCCAAGCGCCAAAGTTCGCAGAGCACATCATGGTCAACTAATTTTAATTAAAAATCCAGACATGATCAGAAACTGAAATTTTGTATACTCCTTAATAACATATCCACAATGACTTCCAAAATTTTATGGATTAAAATAATCTCATTTAGCATATAAAACAGATTTTACAAAATCTGTCAGCATGCGTAAACCAGTAAACAGTCTTAAATCTAAAATCCATAACAATTACAATATGCTTGTAAAAATTCCGTAAAACTTACCAGACAATAATAACATATAAATACATGACATATCCAAAAATAACAGTAAAATAAAATCACATTAACCCTCTACACCTTTTAGATATCAGAGATCACATAATTCACAGATTCTAGAGACCTTAACCAACCTTGAATCAAAATTCATTATTAAAAAATAGATAATTCATAAAACCTTAAACTTTTAATGTAATCCTAATATCATGGAATTAAAAATATCCAAAATTCGAACTCATTAAAAACATGTTCATAACATATAATTAAAATTCATCAACCAAAACCAAACACTAGAATTCTCCTTAACACCATTCTAAGAATATCAAATATAATTTATGAAAGTTTTCTATTATTAAAACATAGAATTCTACCTTGAATCCTTTGAAATTCTCTAAACAAATGTGATGGCTTGTACATAAAAGTCCCCGAAAGAATTCTTCTAAAGTGGCGTGAAAGAGAAGAAGGTGGGAGACGGAATATTAGTTTCGGAATCGAAGAGCGATGGAGTCTCTCTTAGAAATTTTTTGAATGATGGTGGTAGCCTAGGGTATAAATGTGTATTGAGAGGAGAGAGAGAGAGAAGGATAATAATTTTAGAGAATAAGAGAAAGTGAGAGAGACTTTAAAATGGGGCTCTTTAGAATGCTTTAGGTATATATAGATCCCCTAGAAGAGACTTCACAAGTGGATTCCAATCTCATTTTAAGGCTATGTTTATTAAGAACTAAGAAATATAGAAAAATGTGAGAGGGAAAGGCTAAAAGTAAACCAAAGGTGAGGAGGTGAGGAGAGAGAAAGAGCTCTTTTTATTTTATTTTAAGCGTTTGGTAGAATAAATAGAAACGAATAAGGATAAAATGAATAAAGTTTAAGGGGATTTTTTTTTGTAAGTACTAAAAAATGAATTATTGAAAATATTTTATTTTTAATTGTTAAATTTATATCAGAAACTGTATTTTTTTATTTTCACGTGATTTTAAAATTCTAATTGATAGATAAAAACAAAATAATTCTTTCACATGAACGTAGCTCACTCGACGTTCCATGGCCAATTGAGGGAAGGAAATGTGTCAGTTTCATGTCAATTAGTTGTATATATAAAGCTTGGATTTGCTAATTGCCGAGACAAATCACTAATCATAAAATTTTTTCACGTTATCTATTAAAACAAATAAACATTAAATTTAACAGATGGATCGATGCCTAACAATCGTCATGAAATCCGCAATATGCCACCGGATACAACGAGAAAAGCATGTAAATCCAAAAAGGAAACGAAAAAGAAAGAAGGAGATGCTTTGTTCCTTTCATAATGAATGTAGAAACGGCGGTGGCGAGGAAAATTAATTGAAGCCCCTTTTCTTTTTTTCTTTTTACTTTACATATTTTTTAAGAGATTTTTTACACATCGGTAGACTATATTTTTTTAACAATTAAATTTACATATTTTTTAATTTTTACGTAATTTTATATAAATTTGATAAATAAAAAACTTAATTTATTAGTATATTAGCGTACTGAAAAAAAATCTTTTTTATTTTTTTCATCTCCAAAAATAAAATCTTATAAAGAGTACACGTTATTTATTTTATTTTTGAATCATAAATCCTCTCTATTTAATTAGCACCTCAAAAGTTGATTGCCAAGATATACTAACAATCATGCAGTGCATTGACAATTATGTCGCGTCATTTAATGATCAAATAACAATGACACCACAAGTACAAAGTTCTTCACTAAATTTTGGATAGCATAACAATTATCTTTATTAATTTTTTTAACAAACAATATTGTAGATGAATGACCAATTTAAAATTTTCAGATTTATAAAAAGTTATAATTTCATCAAAAAAGTGAAATAAAAAACCCATTAATTACATTACTCAATAAGAAAGCTTTTTTTTTTGTATATAACTTAATTCCTTAGTATTGTCCACAAAAAAGATTTTTTTTTTCCTTCTTTTGAATAAATATTGTCCCCAAAAAGTTCTACATTATATCCTAAAAAATAAGTTATATATATGTTATTGTCACGGCTCATGTAAAGTGACAAATGATAGTAGAGTTTTATCTCTTTTGCAAAACAAAAAAATTGAAACCTTCATTTTTCTCAAATTTATTAATTTACAATTTACAAATATATTAGGAAAGCTAAATTCACACAAAAGAAGGAATAAGGGGAAAAAGAAAAAAGAAAAAAAGAAAAAAGAAAAAAAGAAAAAACTATTAAAGGAAGGTGAAAAAAATAACGGAAACAACAAATTGTGGTTGGTTTCATGGGGAAAGCAGCGTCAACACCTCCTCTGTTCTTCCAATCAAAGCTGCTCTGTTTCTCTCTGCTCTATCTCTCTTCTTCACTCTTCTTCTCTCTCTACATTTCTCTCTCTAAAACCAAATGCCTTGTCAGATATTCTTCCTTTGAACCTCTCCAAACTCCTCTTTTCTCTTACCCTTCTTCCTACGGAGAACACAAGTACGCAATCCCAACCGTCCGTTCCACTTGCTCTTCCCCTGTTTTCTTCTCAGGTACGACAAATTTCTCTCCAGTTTTCTGCACCCTTTACGTCTACGAATTCCGTTTCTGGGTTTTGATAATTGTCGTTTTCCACAAGTGGCTTTTGGTTTTTGCGTCAGATTATGGGACGGTTGTGAAGAAAATTGAAGATTTGTGTAGAACTTCTTCGTCCTCAGTTTTGAGGTATTTGGAGGGAAACTATGACACATTTGGTGGGAATTTTACAGCCCACCAGAGATTTTCATATTTCGATCATCAAAATGATACGACAAGAATTCCTTGTGGATTCCTCAAGGAATTTCCGATTACTGATTCAGGTTAGCGGTTCGTACCTTTTTTTTTTTTTTTTTTTAATTTTTTGGCATTGCAAAAACATGAATAAGAAAAAAAATTCTTTTATCTAGAAATTTTTTTTTTTTTGGTTAAAGAATTCTAAACTTCCAATGATAATGATGCTTTTGCAAACCATTCTTTTTTTTTTTTTTTTTTTGGTAATGCAGGCAAATTGACACGTTTTCTTTTGGTTATTTGTATTGGAATCAGATCGAATTGCAATGGAAAATTGCAAAGGAGTTGTCGTGGTATCGGCAATCTTCAACGACCACGATAAGATTAGACAACCAAGAGGCCTTGGATCCAAAACACTTCAAAGCGTATGTTTCTACATGTTTGTGGACGATATCACACTAAAAGGCCTAAAGAACCACAAATTACTTTCGGAAAAATCGCGCGAAAATTCGATCGGTGCTTGGAGGATTGTTAGGGTCTCAAGCAAGAATTTGTATGAGAATCCGGCCATGAATGGTGTCATACCAAAATACTTAGTTCATAGGCTTTTCCCAAATGCGAAATTCAGTATTTGGATAGACGCCAAGTTGCAGTTGATGGTTGATCCGTTACTTTTGATTCATGCACTAGTTGTTTCACAAAAGGCGGACGTGGCAATATCAAAACATCCATTTTATGTTCACACCATGGAAGAAGCAATAGCAACTGCTAGGTGGAAAAAATGGTGGGATGTTGATGCTTTGAGGAGACAAATGGAAACATATTGTGAGTATGGATTGCAGCCTTGGAATCCCAATAAGCTTCCATATACCTCAGGTAACTTTTGTAGTTTATTCATAAGTGAATTACTGTCTTGTGGTAATCAGAAAACCAAAATTCTTTAGGGCATGATTATATCATAAATGGGTTAATCTCACGAATGGTAACTAAATTTACTTAAATTTTACTTTGGTTCTTGATTTTAAAACGTCAGAAACTCGAGGCTGATTTATTAGCTTGTTTTAGTCTTAGCCCTATCGTCAATTTAAAGTTAAAATAAGCACTAAATGTGGATGATATTTTGTTATCATAATGTTATTTTCCATCACCGTCACTTGCATATCTTGTGTTCGTTCAGAAAAACGTTATTTTTTTTTATTACCATCAAGTGTACATTTTGTCCTCTTTTTAATACTCAACTGAGAAAAAGAACAAAACTAAAACAAATTAATAGATTGAGATTATGTTTACAACATTAAAGGTCAGACACAAAAAATGGGATTTGGGAAAAATTTTAGGATCATTTACTGGATAAATCCTCCATAAAATGGGCAATTCAAGATGAGAACTTGAATGATTGTGCTTCAAAATGTTAAATTCCTATTAGTTTAGGAGAAGAGAAAAGGAAGTAGGTATGATATTATGCATATTGGCGTGCTTGAAATAAAGGGGCTATAATCACAAAGAAAATGAAGAAAGCAATATTTATTTAATACGTGGTTTGGTTAGGTAGAATCAGCCTCAAGAGTAGTTAACCAGTTTAGTGCTTATACTATTATTATTTCAGTAGTTTTCTTACTTTGAAAGACAAGTAAAAGCTGAGTTTTCTAAGGCTTGTTGTGATGAATTATTGATCCGTAATGATATGCAAATAAATTTTTGCGAGATGCCTTCGACTAAAAGCTATCCGAGAAGATCATTACTTTAATGATTATATACATCTTTAGCTAGACATGTTTAGCAATAACTTTAGGAACTGAAAGCCATGGTGTACACCGTGGGGGAGGCTCATTTAGAAGTAGTTTTCCAAACTATCATCATAAAAAGTAACCCAATAGTTGACTCCTTGTGTTCATTGGATATTTCCTCATACTTAAGATCTTCTAGACATGATGAAGTGAGAAATTAGTCGTGATATAATCTAGATTTTCTGAGATAAAATGGTTATTAATTAAGAAGTGTAAAAAGAAAAACCTTATTATTTTCACTTCTAAGACATCATTACAATGCTCTATAAGACAAAAGGATAAGGGTAAATTCAAGGGAGATTAATATTTAATGGAAAAATCGGTCACAAAGTACTATGAAAATGAAGGTTTAACTAGTGTGGTCCAAAGTATTAATTAATTGGTCGAGTTTGAAGTGGTCCTGCATATGAAGTATGCATCATGCTATTCATGCCAAGGAGGACAATTCATAATTAATTGTGGAGCAAACGTCGTTTTGTAGAGTTAAAACCTGAACGACATACTAGCGTATTTCCCCTCAACTCTATTGAAATTTGTATTTTGTTTTGTTCGATCGATGTATATATCCTAGAAAACGTGGTGGGGTCAGCTTTCCCTATATAATATAATAGTACTTTATATATGGGATGTGAGTCTTCCATGCAGACGTAAAAGCCTGTCTAGTTGCTGATATTTTTCTTGGGGTCTACTCAAAATTTTTGTTTTTTACGATAATTTGACATGATAAGATTGATAAGTCCTTTAATTAAAGGCGATAAATTTTGATCATACCATACAACTAAATATGACTTATTAAAACTTAATATGAATTATTAAAATTTGAGTTGTTTTTGTCTAATGAGACCCAAAAATAAATGAATTTTGGCTGTCTAAATTATTATGAATCATCATCTAACCTTTGAAAAAGTGTGACAAGATACGACTAGATTTAACTGGTGGTACCAAAAGAAAAGTCAAAAGTATAATCACGCTTTTATTTTTGTTTTGAAGTAAATGCTAGAAAAGACTCCATAAGTGACCAATTATGAGTCTCAAATTGCAGTGAATTACATCAATTGTGCTTGTGCTTTATATACCTCTTATTTAGGTACTTGGATAGAAAATTAATCAAATTACGTATCTTTGTGTTTGTTAGACGTCCCGGATAGTGCTCTTATTCTGAGAAAGCATGACTTGGAGAGCAATCTTTTCTCTTGCTTATTGTTCAATGAGTTGGAAGGTTTCAACCCAAGAGACCAATTGGCTTTTGCATACGTGAGAGACAATATGAGACCAAAACCAAAGGTGAACATGTTTGAGGTCGAAGTGTTTGAGAGAATTGCTGTGGAATTCAGGCACAACCTGAACCCTGGAGGTGGGACCAAAGGGTCCCAGACTAGAAGGACCAAAAGGGCAAGCTCAGATTCGAGGTTTGTAAATGGCAGCTGTCAGAAGTACCTTTTGGAGATGTGGGGTGAATCCCATGATTGATTTCGTCTCTTAAACTATAGAGAGAGAGAGAGAGAGAAGACAAAAAAAAAAAAGTGACAAGGGGTTTGGGGAGAAGTCTAGATGAATGCTGATTGTGATTACAGGAGGACAAATCTTCTCTTTTTGTATTTGTTTAGTTTGTTAATTCTTTTGGTAGGAGATGATTCCTTTAAAAAAAAAAAAAAAAAGGGGGATTACAGATCATAGTTACAGTAAAGAAAGATGTGTTTATCAAACGAAGTAGTTAATATAATATTTACATGTACATATAATTAAAGTGGCTACACAACGATGGAAATAAGTTTTGTTATAATATAATTAATAATATCCTTACACTAATCAAATTGCATGAATATCATGTTGTGACATTAGTTACAAAATGAGATCTTGGTTAATGTGTGGAACTAATTGAAATTGGTAATTATACATGGTTAGTAGGACTCAAATTGCAATGGAGAATGCAGAAGCTGCGCGAGAGACCTTTTGCAGATGAGATGTTGAGAAAAAGATTCTTTTTACTCAAACCATTATATTGGCTGCAATAAGGTCACAAATGGACAAATTAGCAAACCTATTCGGAGTTGTTTACAATATACTAGTTAGAGAATAATTTGTATGATAATGCTGAAAATATGTTATAAAAATAAACAACCACATATTCCTGAAATACGAACAACAAGACATCAACAAATTAGTAATAATGTACAAAATGTAGCAATAGAGAGAATCTAGAAATTTCTGGGGATATGATAAAAAGTCGGCCTAACAAAGATTGAAAGTATGAAAAAGTGTTAAAAGACAATATTGCGAGCAAATGTTTTGTGTTCTTAAAAAGAAAAAAATAAAGAAAAGAAAAAAGAAAAAAAAATTGATGAGATGAACAAAAGGTACCATATAACACAGGTAAAGTTCGGAAGTTTCAAATGTGGGAAAGAATATTGAAAAACATATAAGAATTATATATTAAATGGAGATACTATTGTCACTATTTCCATGGAGTGTCCGTGAAATATTCCAATATATATTATGAAAAACATCAATGCTACCAGTAGTATAGGAAAAATAGGTATTATTTCTGAATAATACAAGCTGTAAAAGAATATATCTTTGTTTTCCCGACTCCGTGGTATCAGTACCTTTCAGATATCGCCTATGTTTGTTGTATTATTCAAAGCAGAACCATTAACTATTTCATTGGTTTTGGATTTATCAATCAGTCCAACACTTGCAAGTTGCACACAATCAGACGATTCATACGAGACAACATACACATAACAAAAGTCTTAAGTCTAGCAATGATACAATTCGACGAATGTAACTTTTTTCTTGGGTAATACGATTCATACGCGTGTGTAACACCTAGTATACTAAGTATAACTTGACTTTATTTTGTTTGAATGTTGCACTGAAGCAACTAACTATTACAAACACAAACCAACGATAATATACGAGAGTACGAAAAAGTTGTATTTATCATACTGGTTCGTGTACCGTATTGGTTTGAGTACTGAACTTAAGACAATTTCTATATGTGTGTGTGTATTTTTTTCTAAATGAGAAGTAATGATAAAAAAATCTCAATGTCTATCAGACAAGAAAAGGAAAAGGATAACAAAAAAAAAAAAACAACTTAAGCCTCGTTCATTTCACCGATTCGAGTTTTTAGTCCTAGGTTTCTATAATTAAAATCTCTCAGAAAATGTCACATTTAACTTTTTCTGCTACAGTTAAAAGCTCTCAGAAAATATTACATCTCAACTTGAATTGAAAACTCGAATTCGTGAAACGAACGAGGCCTTAATGTATTTTTTTAGAACACTTCCCATAAACAAGCCAGTTAGTGTAGTTTTTTTTATTTTATTTTTTTTTAAGAGGGAAAAATGGTTAAAGGAAATACCTAGCGCCTTTTATTATTGATAACTCTAAGAAATTAGAGTTATCTTATGCATTTTCAGCTTAAAGTTTTTTTAGTCAAGAGTGTATTTCATTGTTTTCTTCTGTGTTTTACCTTAGATTTTCCAGTTTTGTATTTTATCTTGCTAAATTATGTACTTGCGCTGCTTTCGAGTTAAGAAGTAGTAAATTGAGTCAAAAGAGGCTTAAATATATCTAAGTTTTAGTTTTGTAAATTGTAGGGTGACAGTAGTAGCATTCTGGGTGTAGTTGGCAAGTGGGATGACATCATCGCACTATCTGGGAGAAAAGGACAAAAACCAATGTGAGCTGATTGAGCTGTATAGTAGTGTGGACCACTACAATTCTTATCAAATTACACCTCAACCCTTTTGTTACCCTAAGAAGGAAGTGTTTTCTAAGAGAGGTAGGCAGCCGCCGAGTAGAAGAGGAGAAAATAGAAGGAAATAGAAGCACAGTACCTCTCCTCCAAAAAATACAGTACAGAGAGACGTGAGAGAAGGAAAGAAGACATAAGGTTGAAAGAAGCAAGGCCAGACAAAGAGAGATCCAAAATCCAGTTGAAACTCTTTCTTCTATCTGTTAGCTTAATTCTCTTTTGTTATTTGGATATTAATTTAGTCATGGAATATTCTTGAACTTTGGATCTTGTAAATCTCAGTATGAACTAATTTGTTTTAGCTAGGCCTGCTAATAGAACCAAAGTTGTAAGAATGACAATTTGTGTATGAAATGCTATTGAGTTACTATTCATGTTCATTCATGTGTGTTTATACTTATTTCTATTCTTGACTGGCCATTAATTATAGGATACAAAATTAAGATTAATACTGAAAAGGTTAATTTTAGTATGATCTAACATGGATGATGCTTATTCAATAACCTTATTTTAGTTGTTAATTAGTGGATGGTATAGGAATATATTATTCACCTTGCATGACTTAAAGAAACTTGAGCTTAGATCTGCATTCTGAGAACTGGATTCACATAGGAATATGCTGGAAATGGTTTAAAGAATCTTAGTCATAATTAATTCGGAATAATTTTATGCAATAAAAGAGTTTCTATTAACCGGGGTAGTAAATGTTGTAGCATTTCGGTAACATTTTCTGTCAGACTTACAACTGAGGGAAAATTAGTAGACCTAGCTCATATAAATCATTGATTTACAAACAATAATTACGTTCTTGCTATTTCTAGTCACTTTTGACTGCATTTATTTTGTATCTATTTTCTTTACTTCGTTTTAGTGAATTTTTGTCATATTCATTCTTTACTTGATTTGTTGATTACTTAACTTCCAGCACATAGTTTTGGTGATTCAATCTCTTGAGACGATATATGTACTTCAGTATACTTTATTACTTGTGCGATCTGTGCACTTACGGATTCACACAATAATTATGCTTTTTCACATGGAGTTGTAAGCTCTTGCAAGGAAATGACCCTGTTTTGCCAATAGTTAATGTTGCAGTATTAACGTAGCTTCTTCAGGGGAAAAAAATGTTACATCACGGGTGTAACTAATATCTAAATCTGATTACCCAAACAAAAACAAAACAAAAAACAAAAAACAAAACAAAAAACAAAACAAAAAACAAAAAACAAAACAAAAAACAAAACAAAAAACAAAAAAAAAAACAAAAAAAACAAAAAACAAAAAACAAAACAAAAAACAAAAAAAAAAACAAAAAAAACAAAAAACAAAAAACAAAACCCTAATATCTAGATCTAAAATTTGCTTTCCTCAGACAGTTTTCCATCTCTTTGCCACTTCTTGGTTTTTCTCCGGAAAAATGCCAAATACTACAGAGGTGCTTGAATACTAGCTACTAATTGTCAATTTCAGGATTTTGTTCAAGACTTGTGTAGGTCAGTGGTGCTACCATAAGTGAGCAATCAATTTACTTAAATTAAGGCGTGTTTATAAGTTTTTAGGTATTTTACACCTTTGTCCCCTAAATTTGTATGGTTTTAGCAATTTGTCCTCTGAACTTTTAATTTTGATAAGTTATTCGTTAACTTGTAAAATTATTGCAACGTGCCCTATTTTAACATTGATTGTGTTAAATTAGTGTAAAAAAAAAAAAACACGCTCGATGAAAAATTCTAACATCTCAATTCAAATGTAACACAAAGTCTTAAGTAAATTTAGTAAAATGGGATACATTGCAACAGTTGTACAAATTTAGGGGTTGATTGTCAAAATTAAAAGTTTAGAAAATATTCGTTAACTTGTAAAATTATTGCAACGTGCCCTATTTTAACATTGATTGTGTTAAATTAGTTAAAAAAAAAAAAACACGCTCGATGAAAAATTCTAACATCTCAATTCAAATGTAACACAAAGTCTTAAGTAAATTTAGTAAAATGGGATACATTGCAACAGTTGTACAAATTTAGGGGTTGATTGTCAAAATTAAAAGTTTAGAAAATAATTTGCTAAAAGCATGCTAAGTTCGGGGGGTTGTGCTAAAACCTTAGTAGACTGTTATGAAAAAGGAAACATGTTTAGCAAAGAGTGGAGGGTGTTGACGATGGAATCTCGCCAGCAACCAAGAGCCCGAATTCCAAGTTCGAAACTCAGATCAACGAATCAAAACAACAAAAAAGAAAAAATAAAAGAGTAAATCACACCAAATCCTCATGAGCTCTCAATTTTTTGGAAATATTTTCAGACTCTAATTTTCGGACCCCTCCTTCCTTTTCTCATATTTGTAGGTTGTCTTTCTCGAGTAACCGCTCCTTTGTTAGAGTAACAGTCCATCATTTCCGTACTTTTTGCTTCCTTCAGGACGTGACTCTTCACTCCTTCCCGAACATAACCTCCGCTTCCCTTGATGACAATCCGCATCTCATGAGATTGCTGATGTGGTGATTCCCTTATTTCCCACGTGAAAAAGATGAGTGGAGGGTTGGGCTTTCGTTGTATCCTCCGGCCCAAAAAACACCAAGTTGAGGATACCTTAGGCCTGAGGTGTTGGGTTCAAGGTATACCTTGAGCTCAGGGGAATTATGCTCAAGGCGTCGAGTTTAAGGGAACCGACCTTAACGTGTTAAGCTCAAGGGAATCGAGCTCAAAGTATTGAGCTTGAGAGATTTGAGCTTAAGGTATCGAGCTTAAAGGCGTTGAGGTTGAAGTAATTGAGAACTCGGATTCTGAAGTATCCCAATAAATGCAATTATTGACTTAAGGAATCTTCATATAACAGAGGGAATACTTGATCCAAGTACATGTTTACGGCCTATTAAGAATTAAGGTTGTATTCTTAAGTTAGTAAGTAAATGCATGGATGGAAAGAAAAGGTAGTATTTACCCCTTTTTTTTTCTATTGATGATTCCCAAACCTGCTTTTAAGAAAGGGAGTTTAGTGTACCCTAATTTTCTTTTTATTTGCAAGTTGAACCCATATTTTAATCTTGACAATTAAGAACAGAAATGTGACGACTTTTGGCAACGTAGTCTATGAGATAACGTTATCGATTAATAAATGCTAACTGGATCTTAAATGCATAAATTAAAAGGTTTCAATTACATTTTGTGCAAATTATGGGGCATTAGTCGACATTTGTTAGTCATTGGACTACAGTCGCGTTAGATTTTTTATTTAGGGTCTTATTTATCAAAATCAAAACTAGTAATTCAAGTAACCAAACACTGATAAGTTCAGGGCTCAGGATGAAAAAAAAAAAAAAAAAGGATCAAACAAATGTTTGCTGAGCTTCAGCTTTACTCTTAAACCCTGTTCATTTCGCTGATTCGAGTTTTTCTACAGTAAAAAGCTCTCACAAACAATCACATCTAATTTTTTTACTACAGTAAAAAGCTCTCACATAAAATCACATCTCAACTCGAATCAGCGAACTAAACGGGCCCTTAATTGATCCTGCATTCGGTTGTTACACTTAATTGGATAACACCGGTAGTGATAAGATGACAATAACAATAAAAAAGATAAAATGGAAAGGAAACAAAGAAGTTCTTTGAAAGAACGAACTGTGTTAGTCCTGCAATAAAATAAATGAAAAACTGTTGTAGAAAGATAAGTCAGAATGAAATTAGGAAAAATATAAATCCAACCCCCAAAAGAGGGTTCTATTTTATTATTATTATTTTTTTTTAGAAAATTAGAAATCTCTCTCAACTCACTCTTTTTCTTTTGTGTCATTCTCTTATAATTATATCATTTTAAGTCGAAATATAATGAAAAAATGTTAGGGTAGAAATTTTAGTGTTTTTTAATAAAACACACCAAAAAAAAAAAAATTACAAAACTCAAGAACAAATCGGCCACAAAAGCCTTCAAAAGAAGCTAACACATGACCCTCTAAAAGCTAGAATTCTTCTATATTTCACTTTTTTTTTATTTCCTCTCATTTAAATTGTTGAAGTTAGGAATAAGGTCTTTACGACTTAACAATTTAGTTGAGGTTTTATATTTGAAATAAAAAAGTATAAATAACATTTTTTTTTTCGCAAGTAACATCATATTTAAACTGTGGACAAACACGTGTGTTTGATAGACACAAGAATATATATTATGAAATTAGAAAATTTTAGTTGGACAAAAGTAAAGAAAAATCTTTTGCAAAGACATTTTTGTTTTCCTTTAAATGTTGGATATAATTTTAAGGCCGTTTTGTTGGATTTTAAGGCGCACATAATGGTGTATAGTCTAAAGGTCAATGTCTAAAAATCTACGAGACATGAAAACAGAAAGTATCATATTAAAAATATCATAATATTTCTAGTATTTTGACTGATTGAGTAAGTGGGCAACTTATTCTCCAATATATAATAAGAGCAATACTTTCTATATTTTGTGCTTGTTCCCTTTATGATATGTGTTGCTGTAAATAGCTAGATAGTAAAGCATAAATAGAAGTGTGCGACAGAAATTTGTCGAATCTCAATCAATTCTCTCTCTCCCTCCTAGTCTTCCATAGGTTCTTGAGTTGTGGATTTATCATGGTTGTTTGAGTTCTGCCTTTGTAATAACCACGCACACCGTGAGCTCTCATGGTTGTTTGAGCTCTGCCTTCATAATAACCACGCATACCGTGAGCAATCAACGGCGTGGTGATGATCATGATCATGGAGCATGAAGATTATGTTCGTGACTGGAGTATAGTGAGGCTATCCCGTAGCGATTCTTAGACCGGTGCTCATTCAGAGATTATATACGACACCACGCAAACGCTTCCGCATATGTACCTAGGGGTAATTTTTTTCCTTCACCTTTAGTTTTTACTTCATGGTTCAAATAACAAGTTTGAACAAAGTTCAAATATTCATGAATTACCTCAATTAAACATATTGAATTGGGGTATGCACTATCACTGAACCCAATGAATAGAGCTGTAAGTTCGAGTCAGGCTAAACGGGCCGGATCAAGGTCTGTCTCTGTTGGCTCATGCTCGGGCTCGGCCCGCCCCGACCCTAACCTCCGGGCTAAGGTTTCGAGTTCAAATGTTTATTCAGACTGCCCCGCCCAATCCAAACGCCCTGTTTTTAAAGATTTTTTTAAAATATTTCATAAAATTTCAAGCCAAGTTGGGCTATCCCCCATTTAAGGTTGGCCCGAACCGACCTGGAATTTTCATTTCGACTGACCTAAAAATTTTCTTTGGTAGATCCTAAGACGAATTATGTACACAATGAGGATCACAATCATTGATACAGTTTGGGTACCAAGCTATCTTATCAATATATTTAAAAAAAAGCCTTCGATGTAGTGATGAAATTTTTATACAAAATAAATCCTAGGTAACTCAAGTGGGAGAGCCGTGTTATGGGTGACCTTATTGCACGGTTCAGAGAGCACTTGTGTATGTGATGCAAGTGAACGTGTACGAAAAAGCTGTCGTAAAGTTTCGTTGTTCGTTCCGTCGTCGACCCTATCTATGTTTCTACGATGGCCCAAGAACACGCTCATTCTTCAGCCGTAGAGAGACTTTTGAATTGCGAGGTACCATTTAGCTAATGGAGATATTAACTCTTCCGGGAACCAGTAACGCGTAAACCATGTCAAACCAAGACCGATCAATATCCGAACGGAACGGATTCGAACTTCTCCTAGAATAGTTTCCGGTGCGAAATGAAATTCATAGGATATATATGAGTAATTCAAAGGAGAAATAGAAATATTTGATAGGATTCGATTCCCAATAAAACTTTATCCCTCATTGTGATCCAACACAACTTCAACAAAGATCTGGCAAGTCAAAAGTGTACATAACAAATTAACTTTAAGGCCAAAGACGCTTTAATAAGAACCCTTTAATTTCCCTTCTTGTTTTTTTTTTTTTTTTTTTTTTTCTCCTTTTCCTTCTTAAAGAATTGAGAGGGCATTAGAGGCTTTGGCAAAATTATCATAAGGATTGTTCACGTATTAAATTTTTCATCTCCCACTCAAATGAAGTAATTAAGATAAATGGACATTAACGTTCTTAATTATCAAGAAAAAAAAGGACATTAACGCTTTGACTATTTTCCGAAATATATCACATAAAAGGCACATTTAATCCTTAAAATTTAAATTCACATAAAATTGTACCTAATACGGTTTTTTAATCCATTTTAATAGAAAAAAGAAACATGTTAAAGGCTAATTATTGCGTAAAACTTTAAGCACAAAAGGTACTGACCTTTTAAAAGTTATGAAATTATTTCTGCTGAAATTTGAATGTAATACAACTTTAATAATTTATTGATGGACCAACCAAACAAATAATACTTGCGTGAAAAGCAATCCGCACCAAAAAATAAAAAAAAAACAAAAAAAAAAAGAAGAAATTCCCATTGGATTTTCCTTGGCCCCTCACTTCCCGCCTTAAATTTTCACCCCCATACAACTCCTATCTCACATTCTTTAGAATCTTTGAAAATAGAAATCCAAAGAAAAACAGTGATCACAATTATGTCGTCCCAGCAAATCGCCAACCACCAAGAAGACGCCGAGATCTTCCACGGCGATGCCGTCTGCAAGCAGAAGGCCGGCCAACTGCTTGAAGAAATGTCTCTTCCACGTGGCCTCCTCCCTCTGGACGACCTCATTGAGGTTGGCTACAACCGCATCACCGGCTTCGTCTGGCTCAAGCAGAGGAAGTGCAAGGAGCACCAATTCACTGCGATCGGGCGCACAGTATCATACGACAACGAGGTCACTGCGTTCGTCGAGGAGCATCGGATGTGGCGGCTAACAGGGGTCAAGAGTAAGGAGCTTCTGATATGGTTTACCATCTCTGAAATCTTCATTGACGATTCCGATCCTGACAAGATCACGTTCACCAATCCAACGGGGATTTCACGGTCATTCCCGGTCTCGGCATTGGAGATCAAGGAATGAACTG